TTAAGAAGAGCCTCTTTGTGAGTATGGATGTCCTTTAGAGAGTTTAAACCATACTATAATCTGGAGGTGAATTAACCCTTCGGTGACTCAACAGACAAGTAGTAGTGGTGATGGAGTGGTGCAAGTGGAAGCAATATCATGTCCTGTGATGTAGAAAGAATCAACGGAAGAGACAGAAATAGAGAAGATTGATCTCAGAGGTGGTGGAATTCATACTGAAGGTGAGTTAAGGGTGTACACACACAGGAAAAAGCAAACTAAGGAAGTAAAGTCTGCAGTGCTCCCATCCCGGTCTTCCCCAACTCTTGAGACACCTACACCATCATCCACCTTTGATTCAAAACTCTCAGGTGATATTATTCCTCATTCGTCCACTCCTATCCCCTTAACCTTAAGGAAGACCGCTCACAGCAATGCAGGACATCCTCCTAATCGTTTTGGGTGGGAACTTGACATTGCGAATTTTATTTTTTATTCTAACATCTCACATTTACATGGAGCATTCATTGTATCATTGGACTCTGTCTTTATACCTAAGTGTCAGCATATTTTTAAAGAGAATCCAAAGTAGAAAGCGGCAATGTGTGAAAAGCTTGGAGCTCTTGATAAAAACCAAAGATGAGAGATTGTACCACTAACAGCATGGAAGAAGACAGTTGGATGAAAGTGGATTTTCACGGTCAAGCAAACTTCAGAAGTGAAGGTGAGGAGATACAAAACACAACTAGTGGCAAAAGAGTACAGTTAGACGCATAACGTTGACTACAATGAAACTTTTGCACCAGTTGTAATGATGAGCACCATGAGGACACTGACTTCTCTGATAGTGAATGGTAGAGAGAGAATCCACCAAATGGAAGTAAAGAATGTTTTTCTTCGCGGGGAGCTATTGGAGGAGGTATATATGGAGATACCACCAAAATTCACTACATCGCAGTGTAGGCTCAGGAAGTCACAGTATGGTTTGAAGCAGTCTCATCGCGCCTGGATTGACAATTTTATAATATCAATGGTTGACATGAGATATAACAGATCAATGCAGACCACACGGTGCTCTTTCGACAACATGAAGATCACATTACAATACTTGTTGTGTAAGCGGATGATATGATTATCACTGGTGATGACAAGGCAGAGATTGCTCAACTGAAAGGAAGATTGAACCTCACTAAAAATGAGGTCAACAAGCTCAAATACTTTCTTGGGATTAAAGCAGCCTATGGACCGGAGGGGATGGTTCTATCCAAAAGAAAATATGTGATGGATCTTCTCATGGAGACAGGTATGCTGGGGTGCAAACCGACAGTCTCTCCAATTGATCAGAAGGTCAAGCTTATCACAGAGGTAGGTGAATCGATCGATTGAGAGATATACCAGAGGTTGGTGGGTCATCTGATCTATTTGTGCCACACTTGACCTGATAATACTTTTACAATAAGTGGGGTGAGCTGCAACATGCATGATCCAAAGAAGGGTCGTATGGATGCAATATACCAGGTTTTGAGAAATCTGAAGAGTGCATTGGGGAAAAAGTTGATATTCGAGAGAATACGCATGTAGATATTGAGAGCTTTTGTGATTCTGACTGGGCAAGTTGTGCTAGTGGCAGACGATTCACATCAAAATACTGCATGTTCATAGGTGGCAACTTAGTCTCTTGAAAGAGAGAGAAACAGTCCATTGTAACAAAACCAACAACAGAGACAGAGATCATGGCATTAAGAGTTTCTAAGATGATGTGGTTGAAAGCCTTGTTGGTTGAACTCAAAGTGGATCAAAGAAATCAAATAAAGTTGTGATGAGAAAAAAAGTCAGTGATCAGCATCGCCAACAGCCTGGTGCAAATGATAGAACCAAACATGTTGAGATTATGGTTCTTCATCAAGGAAAAACTGAATAACGGACCACTAAAGCTAAGTCATGTAGCCATTGGAGAGCAAGTGGCTGACTGCCTCACTAAAGGACTTGGTATATTAGATTTGCCTAGGTTATGTGACAAGATGGGCTTAGTGAATAAATTTTGCCCATCTTGAGGGGGGGTGTTAAGATTTGTATTTAATGTAGTGTCTTAGGTGACAAGATGGGCTTAGTGAATAAATTTTGCCCATATTGAGGGGGAGTGTTAAGATTTGTATTTAATGTAGGGTCTTAGTTGTAAATAGATGAAGTCTAGGAATTTATTTGTAAATATTGTAACTTGTAAGGCTCTATATAAGCCCGTCATCAATGAAATGAAAGGAGGATTTTTTTAATAATAATTTCTATTGCACGCATTATGCTAATCTTTTTCTTAAATATTGTTGCTAAAGAGTCTTGTATTTATCCATCCACTTTCATTTCCCCTTGAAACTTAATTCAGGATTTAAGTTAATATTATTTTTCTATCATTTGTTATAGAAATTGAGCTCTTGAATGCATGAACTAAGTGGTTTAATGAAAGCTGATTTCTCAAGGCTAAATTGTAGATCAAATATGTTTTATATGAGATTGCATAATTTCAGCTAATTTAATCATCTCAAATTAAATGAAATTATTTTATTCTATTGTTGCTTCACCTTGCTATTCCCACAAATCATTGACATACAATATTATAAACTGTTATAATAATGTTGTAAAACTTATTTGATATCAGCAATTTTGTATGTGCCCTTAATGAATGCATTTCTATTTGATGTAATCTTATACTCTATTTATATGACATTAATAGATAACTTTTACGTTAAGACTTTTTTTCTGTAATAAAATTAAATATAAAATAAATCTTCCATGATTTTCTAATATTTTGTGCTACTTTTAAAATAGTGTCGGCCTCATCGTTTTATGTGCTATGGCTCTATGAGATTTTTACTTTATGATGTTGATGTTCACAATTGACAAATATGCACGGTAAGTATATGAATAATAATTCATTAATATGTCATTGGAAATACAATTACTTATTGATTAGCAAAACAAAATTTTATAACTGCTAGTTATGGTCAGGTGTTTGGTTATCAGGTTGTTACTTGCATGTTTAGAATAAAATATAAAGTTATAAGTTACTCAACAGCTAAATAGCTACTTTTCTAATCAGCAAATCAAGTGAAATTGGGAAAATAATTTCAACCAGTATATGAATCTGGGATCAGCATTAATCTATCATAGCAATCCTTTATAAAACTAGTAAAAAATATATATTTGACTCTTAGTTAAAGAAATTGTAATAATTAATCATTATGGTACTAATAATAACATTTTAGTATATAAATGCGCTGCAATCTGTAAGTCAATTCATGATAATCTAAATACATAAGATTTTACTTGCGCATTTAATCTCAACTTAATTAGAAATCAGCAGTTTTTAGATTTATCTCTTATCTTCGTCAACATTATACTTTAAATCTAAGGTCAAACGATTTCTATAAATATAACTTCTTATTCATTATAAAAGCCATGATATGATGAATGAAATAATAGTAATGGATCTATAGGATTTAATATCAACATAACGTTCTCAATATGTCATCGTAAATATCTTTAATAACTTCAAGTAACATTTGACTCAGCTTTTCCCAAATGGGCAAATAAAAAACAGGAATACTTCTTTTGCTTATAGTTTTTTCATCTCCATTTATTGCTTAAAAAAAAAGACATTTATATTAAATCACTATGGCATGAATCAAATTGAACTTTTGATATTAAGATAATTTGTCTAAAGAACCAATCTTCAATTTGAAAACTAAAATAATCTAAGTTTATTTCTTACAGCCTTGAAAGCGTGTTAAAAATCTCACTATTATGAGATCATTTGTTACCACAAATTCAAACATATCTTACAAGCATTTCTATTTGTCATCTCTATCCATATTGCTAATCCATTTCAATAGAACCTACAAGTCAATTTAAATCATCACTCAGAATTTTTCGAAGTTCCTATAATCCAATGTAAAGCACAAAATGATAAGCACGTTTATAATATTCAACAATTAAATTAATAGCATACTAATATCACCAACCATTTAACTCCAAAAAATTTTGACTTCCAACTCAATCCGCTGTTTCCCCTAATTAATTTCTTGTTAATAATATTCCAAACTGAATAATAATTAATAAGCCCTATTGTCTCTAAATCATTCCCCGTTTCCCTCTAGTTCATTTGTTACCACAAATTCAAATATATCTTCTTACTAGCAATTCTATTTGTCATTTCTATCCATATTGCTAATCCATTACAATAGAACCTATAATCCAATATAAAGCTTAGCAATTATATAAAGCACTAATTGCTAAGCACATTCATAATATTCAACAATTAAATTAATAGCATTACTCATAACACCAACCATTTAACTTAAAAAATTTTGGCTTCGAACTCTATCCCCTATTTCCCGTAATTAGTTTCTTCTTGTTAATCTTCCAAACAAAATAATAATTAATCAGCCCAAGTGTCTCTAAATCATTCCCCATTTCACTCTAGTCTATTGCAAACATGTTATATTTATTCCAATTTGAATCGTTATATTCTCTATCCTTCCAACTTTAGTCTCCAAATTGCATGTAGTAATGGTAAACTTAATTTTAAAAACTAACTGCTAGAATTTTTCTCCACAATTGAATGTAGCATTTTTAGCAGTTGAGGTTCTGGGCAACAATTGTCTATGTCTCACCGCATAGAATTAAATTAGGACTGTCACTTTTGGGTTAAGTCCTAGCCAGCCTTTTAACAAATTCAACACAATCAAAATTGAGCAATGGTAAACTATTTTTGGAGAACATCCGAAAAATAGCATCAGCAATGATGTTGCATTACTATACATAATTTGAAAATTAAGAACAGGAAAGGTAACTCAGATAAAATCGTGAAGTTTCCTAGAAATGCATGTACGCGGCTGTTATGCCAGAATATCCCTCAGGAGACTCAGTGAAAAAACATAAATTTTAACATGCAGGACAGCACATAAACATGGGCATCGATATAACAAATTTGACCGAATAGGATTTTTGAGCAAAGGAATCATCACCTTCATATCCAGTACTAATCGACAGCCTTTGCTCGCTGTTGAATCTGCTGAAGAAGAGCAGCAGCCAGCTGAAGTGTTGCCTGCAAACGCTTCTCAGGATCTGCTTCCGTGTCTTCCCTGGAGCCGTTTTGCTCTTGTTGATTGGTCTGTTGCCCAACATTTTGAACTGGAGGAACATCAGATGGTTGTGACCCTTGCAGCTGCAGCTGCAGCTGCTGCCCGTGGCCAGTCTGATGCTCTACAGATGCAGAATTCAATGATGAATCGGCAGGGGTAATAGAAGCATGGGCATGTGGCAAGAGAGAATTGTTATACATAAGCATAGAGGCATGATGCTGGGAAATAGGATTCTGAGAAAAGTTCGAGTATTTCCCCCTTTCATCCTTTAGCAAATGAGGCTCTTCTACAGTTTGTTTTTGGTTCCCCAGAAGAGCTGCCAGATGAGCAAGTTGTTCAGGTTGGAGAGATCTTGATGTTGCTGAAGGAGGCTGAGATTTGATCTCCTGCGGTGGAGGAAACTTGACTGCAGAAGATGAAGCTAAAGTCTCAGGCATATAACCACTTGAGTCAGTCCCTGGAGCAACTCTTGAATTGAATGACTCTTTTGAGAAAGATTGACCAAATGGTTGTGATGGAGCACTTGGAGCAGTAATGAAACTTCCCATGCCAGAGCAAGAAACTGGAATGTTACTAGACCAGGTAGATGGAAATGGAGGATTATGAAGTTGCAAATGATCATGCGCCCCATCCATATGAAGATCACGTAACTTTTCTCCACGAGCAGAGACTGAATACGGGAAACTGTCATCCCGTGTAGATGCTGGTGTGAAAATGGCTGGAGTCAAATATCCTGATGATGAGGCTGTGTGGTTTTGTTTATGAGAAAATGACCTGAAATCAGGTGAATTTGGTTCCGTAAATGAAGTGCCTTCATGAATTTTAAGTCCTTCATTTGGCCTCTGAGTAAGAGATGGGATTTTTGGCTCTGTCAAATCCAATGGATGTTGAAGAGAACTGATGTTAGAAACATTTTGCTGGAACTTTAGAATGACACCAGAGATGCTCACTTTTCCTGGTACTTTCAAGACTTGTTCAGAAAAATCTGATGGCGGTACGAGGAATAAAGTGACTTTCTCTTCCAGCTTAGCAACAGCTACCCGCTGCTTTTCTCCAAGATAATGCATGAATTCACCATAGAAACCAATATCTGCATCACTTTCAGGAACAAAAAATACCACCCAAGTACTCACTGCTTGATAATAATGTTTTGCAAGCATATCAAGGCCAGTTCTCGAAGTGCAGTTAAGAAACTCAGGCCTGCATGCAACATAGCAGTTGATGAGGAAAGATGAGATAGATCAACTTCCAGTACTTATTGTTATAAAAAATGCAGCAACAGAAAAAAAAATAAAAAAATAAAAACTACTGCTTTTGTGGATCTAAGCTGGCAAAAAGTAGGAATTAAGTATTACTTACAGCATAAAATCAAGAACTTTACCAACAGGAAAGCACCGAGCACGACAAACTGGAGTTCCGCCCTTAGCTATCGTTCCCTCCCACTTCCATATTTCATCTAGTGGGGGAGGTTTATGAGATTCAGGTTTAGATCTGTGTGATTTTGGAGATATACTAGAAAATGTTCTAGAACCTCCGCTTAAGCGGCTGATGCTGCCCCACGTATCATCTATTTCAGCGTGAGAACGATTTAGGCTCCTTGACAAATCATGACCACCTTTTAAACTGAATGAAACAGAATCCAGAGACTTATTATAACCATGATACTCTGGCAAATCATGGAATGGATTTTGCAGGCTGTCATGTTTTTCTTGTTCTAAATCTGAGAAAGGATACTCTGGAAGATCTTTATCAGGGATGAAGTCAATTTTAAGTTTCTTTGCTAGAGGAAATGGTCTGTCCTCTATGTCCCAAGAATCTGCAAATGGTGGAACTCTTTGAGGTCTTTCAAAAGGAAGACTATGTGAAGGTGGTATCTTGTCTGCCGGACTGGTTCTGTGTCTTCCTAAAAAGTCTTCTGTTGTCCTTCTGTCAGAAGAAAATTCTTGTGATCTAATACTCCTGTAAGTACTGGAAAAAATTGGTTCCGGTTCAGCGCCAAACTGTGATGATTTATTCCTAGTGAAATCGAGGGCTTGTGGATCACGAGAGACCTTGTCAAGTAGGCTGAAGCGAAATGGTGGAGAAGCCCTGCGAAAATCTCGGACCGGACTCTCCAAGCTTTCATCACCATGAAAGGGCTCAAGGACTTTCCCACTTGACCCAGGTAAAAAATTAGGCTTCAAATGTGGAGAGAAAGGACCATTTGCAAGACCTTTTCCATGTACAGCAGGCATATCACTCCTAGCAAAACAAATATTAACACGAGGATTGTTGAGAAATTTCCCATGCAGAGCTTCTTTAGCCCTACAAGCTGCCACCACACTCCTGTAGCGAACAAAGGCATAGCTACGGCCTGGAAATGAAGTAATTTTCTCAATTTCACCAAAAGGTGAAAATGCCCTTCTCAAGATTATTTCATCAACATTTAAAGATGGAGGAAAGCCTATCCACAAAACCTCACTAGGTTCAGCACTCCTATAGCCTTTGGACTTATCAGAAGATCTTTCAGGACTAAAATTCTGATTTCTCATATCTCTTCTCAAAGGTGATTCATCCCTCTCAATTGACCGTCTGTCATCTTTATGACGCAAATATGCTTCATCCTGTATTAAAATGGAAGCCCTGCTTTGTAACTCGAAACTACTTTTTGAATTAGCATTATAACTAATGCATATAGTTTGCAAGCAGAGATGCAAAATTGAGTAATCAAGCACATTAAGGCTTCAACTACAGAAAGCCTCCACCTACAGAAAGTATTAACAAACAAGTCCTATATCGCACACAAAAAAATATTGAAAAACAAATAGACTTATCCCTGCCAAAAAATTTCAATTTAAGGAACATAATAATAATAAAAAAGGAACCAAACTTCAAATGAAATGAACCAAATTAAAATAATAGGAAGTAGAAGACAAGTAACATCATAATAAAAAGGCCTTCCTTGCTCATCAAATTGACATCATGCAACAAAACAAAAAGAATTCTTCAGCGGTAGAGCTAGAGCACTCGCTATAGCATCCGGCAAGCATGGCTAGCAGAAATACAGAATAGATTAAAGTTAACCTGGGATTATAAGCATGCATTCCATTACCTCACGTAAGGGAGTGAGTGTGTGCGCTACTTTGCACATTCACCATAAGACAATCATAATCAGCAGAAAATAACAAGACCTTTGGTTTTCAAAAACAAATTATTGACTAAGCTATAAAAAACGATTCATAGCTGTATCAGAACTCAAGAAAACCAAAAATTTGAACGATAGTAGACTCATAAACTCTCCTAGAAAGCTTAGAAAATCAAAGGCTAAATTGGAATACAGCTATGGTATGAAAAATGAACTACAACTGCTAGAAAACCTTAGTGCTACATCATATAAGTAAAATGCTAAATTAGTTGAAGGAAAAAAAAGCACTTTCCTTGCGCATGCATCCTGAAAGTAAAATGCTATTCTAAATGAGACAAAAAAAACAAAACACACTGAAATGGTAGCCCCAAGTCCCTCTGTTCTTTTCTAGCACAACCTCACCTTTAATGAAAGGAATGACCGTTATAATCATCCTCATGACTTCACCATCAAAAACTCCTTCACCTTGTTTCGTGGGTAAGAAGTGCAGAAAAATTAACCTAAAATCATATCCAAAAGTTTTTCTCTGCGTAGTTTTCAACCAAACCAGTTGTTCCATACAGCAGGGCATCAAAAAGAGCCATAATCGTGATTAGTTTTTTCAGTTCCCAAATAAAAAAAAGTTGATCGGAGATGTAATCAATTGGTAGTCATAAAATTTATGTGGAAACTAATTCTAAATTTGAATTTTGCTAAAGCTTTGACATCCTCCAGAAAAGACATGTCATTGGCTAATCTAAGTTTGATGAAAAGGCGTGATGTCGAGTTAATTTCGAGCGAGCTAGTCCAAACTCAATATTACATTTTGATTACGAATGTCCAAACTCAATACAAACCGAATTAAAGTCAAGTCAATGTTGAGTTTTGGGTTAATTTGAGTAAATATGTCAAGTCAATGTTGAGTTTTGGGTTAATTTGAGTAAATCCGATTATTTTATTAAATATGCTAATATGTCTTACTATTAATCTGATTGTATATATAAATAGTTATCATCAAATATACTAAATATAAATGCATCTATGTGCGTCCGCGCACATGCATAGACACCCGCGGGCTCATCTGCACGTGCACAGACACGCTCGTGCACCGGCGCGTACAGAAGCGCACGCGCATACATTTTAAAATGATTTTTGGTTGAATTCAACTTATTTCAAGAAAAACATTTGTCAGTTATAGCATATTAATTCCCATTTGAGTCGATTAAAAATTGAGTGATAACAAAGAGAGTTATGAATTTCGTGCATAATTGTTAGACCAAATGAAAAGCATACAAATGTTTACCAGGACATCAACATTAAGTGAAGTGATAACTTTTGCCAAATTGTGGTGAATAATATACGAGGATTAGCTATGATGTCATCAGCAATTGGTATTCCAGTCTTCAAACAAATTGCTGCAACAACCAAGCAAACAATGAATAGGTGCAATACGAAGATTAAATTTGAATAAGTAAATAATCTAGTGAACAAAAAGATTAAAAAAAAAATTATTTTTTGTGGCATACATTTTAAAATGATTTTTGGTTGAATTCAACTTATTTCAAGAAAAACATTTGTCAGTTATAGCATATTAATTCCCATTTGAGTCGATTAAAAATTGAGTGATAACAAAGAGAGTTATGAATTTCGTGCATAATTGTTAGACCAAATGAAAAGCATACAAATGTTTACCAGGACATCAACATTAAGTGAAGTGATAACTTTTGCCAAATTGTGGTGAATAATATACGAGGATTAGCTATGATGTCATCAGCAATTGGTATTCCAGTCTTCAAACAAATTGCTGCAACAACCAAGCAAACAATGAATAGGTGCAATACGAAGATTAAATTTGAATAAGTAAATAATCTAGTGAACAAAAAGATTAAAAAAAAAATTTATTTTTTGTTTATGATAAACTTAATGGTAAAGAAAAAATGACAGGATATGAGGGAATCTGGTTATAATACACGTAACAAAGTTGGGATGAATATGATTAGCAATAGAGTGATTTCCATTTAAGTGTGGTGGAGATATTATATATGTAGTCAATATTTATGGTACTCGAGTTAGATTATAAGATAATTTAAAAAATTTATTTTGGAAAAAGATGCATGATTTATTATAATTTATCTCAAGAAAAAAAAGATAAGTACAAATAAATGGCTGCTTAAAAGTCCTAGTAAGATGGACTATAAGAGGATTCATAACATAATGCTCATAATTTTATCGAAGTTATGAAATTCAATTTTTCATAAAAGAAATTATAATATTTTATTTTATTATGATCATTTCGATATATATTTATGCTTACATAAATTATATTATTTATTAAAAAATTAAGTCTAAAAAATTATATTAATTTACTGCTCATGGATTAATTTTAATGTGCACTCAACTATTGCATTATTGCATTCAAAGTGGTTTTTCGGCTTTTCCACTTGCTTTACATTCAACGGGTGAGACATTCAAGGAATGGTTGTGATTAAATTAAGGTATACAAAGTATTTGTTACGCTGGAATCTAAAAGGAATTTAGACTTTTACTTATTATTGCGGGATACATATAAGACTTATTATGCTTAGGGGTATGCCTTGATTTTTAGGATTGGGTTTTGGAAGATATTGTCCATCTCTCAAATTGTAGGTGTTTTTATTTATGTATTTGGACTTGGGTTGTGTTGTTTTATTTTGATGGAATAAATATTTGTTTTTCCTAATTTCTGTGAAAACTTCTACCAATTTGATGGTATCTTTTATTAGTTATTATTATGAAGTTTCACATAAAACTGTCTCAGGCCACTGCAAGATCGAGCTATAGAATCAGAAGTAAAAATGAGCCGCATTAATCAGAAGAATTCACGCAACATTGGTACAGTGTCACTGTTCTTGGTGAATTGTGAGCTTAGGATTGAGCGAAGGAATTGGGAGCAAACTCGAGCGGAAGCACTTGGAAAGAATAGCGGTACATTCAGATGACTGGAATGAATGGAAGCCTATGAGATTCAACGAAGGAGTCGGGAGCAGACTTGAGCGGCAACATCTTGAACAAAATTGTCTGACAGCGGGAGGCTTGGAACAAACCGTAGTAGGTAGTAGGCGAAACAGAATGACATGCAATTTGGAGCTGGAGAAGATCGATTAGAAGGATTTTGGCCTGGAAAATAGAACCATGGTGGGTTGAATGCTAGTGGAGGGTTGTGTCTAACTCCTGTAGTGCCTTTTGTTGTTGCAGCCTTTTGAGCGGAAGGCAATTCAAGAGTAATGATGGGAACGGGACATGTAGAGAAGAGCAGGGGGGAGTGTAAAAGACTGAATTTTGACACTATAGAGTATTCACGAGAGCGAAAAGATGAGGGGGTGTTTCGTGGTGAACACAAATTGTGCAAGACTTTGGTAAAGCACAAAACCATGGTGAGGGCAATTAGGACGCAAAACTCAGATTCTGGATCGAGTTGTATAGCATGGAAGAGACATGTGATACAAAGTTGGTGGAGATTACTGTGATTGATTAGCTATAAGAGTTGTTTTAGGTTACGGTATTCTCCAAGATTGAATTTAAATCTAGGTACTGACAGGTTCGGAAGCGGCTGAAGTATGTGCACATAATTGTATTTTGAACTCATGGGGGGTCAGTACGAATTTCTGATTAAATAAAAATGATTGTCAGATGAGGACATCACGTCGGAGCCAAACGACTTGATCCAACAACAATTTTTTTTTCCCATATTGAGGACAAAATATCTTTTTGTGAATGGAGTTTTGTTTCGTCAAAAACTAAGGGCAAGTTTTTTTATTATTTATTATTGTGGAGTATAAATAAGGCTTATTATGCTTAGAGTTAGAGTATGCATGAGATTGTTGTCTTGAGTTTTATGATTAGAGTTTTGGGAGAAGAGATTGTTGTCTTGAGTTTTATGATTAGAGTTTTGTCAAAAACTAAGAACAACTCTCTCTCAAATTATAGGTGCTAAGGGTAGGGTTTGGGAGAGATTGTCTACCTCTTGAAATGAAGGTGCTTATCTTTATACATTCAGGTTGTGTTGTTTTCTTTTGAAGAAATAAAATATTTATTTGCCCTAATTTCTATGAAATTTCTTTAGAGCGTATCAATATCAAAATAATAATTACTTAAGACTAGTTTTTTGTTTTCAAATTTACTTCAACAAATAAACTTCCAATCAAGGTTGATAGATAAAAAGGATTATATGAAAAGAAGTTATGTTTAGGTTATATTTAATTTTAAATTGAGTAAATTAAGAAAACTTATGAGATTTAAGGAATTTCAATTTAATAGATTGTATACAAATTTTCAAAAAAAATTGGTGGAAGAAAGACTATTTAATTGTCAATTTTCAATCGGTACAAGATAATTTATAATTCATGGAAAAGCATTTTTAAGCCCTACTATTCCTGATTAAGTGTTCACTCATCAAATTTATATCATGAAAAGCACAAATTATTGAAATATTGTATTTTAAAGTAGGACAATTAATACTTA